TTTTCTTGTTGTACAGACTATGTGTTCGGCTGGTAAAACAAAAACAAGGTTTAATTTCCCACCTCTTGTTTGCCAGTTCCCATACAAATCTAGTCGACACAAAGAGATTAATGTCCTAATTACTGGTTCAGATCTCAGATGGGAGACAAATAAAGCTGATGTTTTCTCGGACATCATGATTGGCTTAGCTGTCGCTTTGCTACATCATCTAATGTAATGAGGTAAATGATGCAAGGCAAGACCTGGAAAATTACTATACTAAGTATGGCATCATTAAGATTCTCTTATTTTTTTTATAACTTTCGTCTCGTGAAAGTTGGAAAAAGAATTTTAACTAGTATTTATTTTAAAACCTTTAAATTAAGCCTCAAACAGGCAGCGTGAATATAAAAACCTCACTTAAGCATTTCGGCTAAATTAAGCTCCACCTTTCTCTACATAAAAAGTTTATGCAGTAAATCAACCGAAAAACTATCGAACCTCAAATCAACACATTTTGAAGTAGAGGTGCCAATTAATTATAATTTCGTATGTCAAATAAAAACATAAAAATTGAGTCAGAGATTTTTGTGCTTTGTGCGCCGGTGAACAAAAAATAGTATTTTGTCTATATTTTTTCCTGCTTATTTCAAATACGATATTCCCTACAACTTCCTCTTGATATTTTGCAAATACTTCGTTAATTAGACTTTCTTTTTGTGATCCAAGGGTTTTATATAACATCTTTATTGTTGCCTTTTTTACCCGAAAGGGGGCCTAAGGCCGCCTGTATGGGTCATCTGTTTTAACCACTCGCACCATTATATATCAGTGTGTTGTCTGTCAGTCAGTTAGTAGACACTAAAATGACGTCACATAAGGGGCGCTTTAGTGTGTTGTCTGTCAGTCAGTTAGTAGACACTAAAATGACGTCACATAAGGGACGCTTAACGTGGCAATTTGTAAAGGTATAGCTATTCACAAATACCCGAAACAAACCAAACGTTATTCCTCACCATCGACAGCTGGTGGAATTCACCAGGTTGGAGTTTGAGAACATTCGAGATATTACAGTTATTCAAAACGAACTATAAGATGTTAGAATATGTTTATGTAACACAAAGTATGCCAAATTTAATGTACAAAAATGAGAGATGCAAATAATAAGACAAAATATAAATATCATCTCTTGATGAGTTAATATTTATTTAGAAATAACCAATCCGTCAACTGTTCAGTTCACCTACATCCTACTAAGTACACCTTACAACAGTGACACCTGGATACTCTAAACTCCAGGTTAAACCACTGATATTATACAGCACAACACCTTTATTCCATTAAGCCCGAGTTCAACCAGTATTATTATACTGTACAGCACCTATATTTAATTACACGCAAATTCAATCAGTAATATTTACTGCATAACATCGTTATTATATTAAGCCCACATTCAACCAGTGATATTATACTGTACAACACCTGTATTCCGTTAAGCCCAGATTCAACCAATAATATTGTACTGCACAACAGTATAATACTATAATACATAACATGTGTATTTTAGAGTCCGGTTAAACCAGTGATACTATACTAAATAACACCTGTATCTTTAAAACCTGGTTAAACCAGTTATACTATAATACATAACATGTGTATTTTAGAGTCCGGTTAAACCAGTGATGCTATACCTGTATCTTTAAAACCTGGTTAAACCAGTTATACTATAATACATAACATCAATATCTTAGAACCTGGTTAAATTAAAGATAGTATAATACATAACATTTGTTAAACCAGTGATACAATAATACATAATGTTTGTGTCTTTGAATCCGGTTTAACTAGTGATACTATACTACATATCGTCTGTATCTCAGATTCCAGTTACACCAGTAATGGAATGTTCCACAAAGTTTGTTTACTATAAAGTCCAGATTACTCCAGTGATAATATTCTACACAGAGTCTGTTTACTATGAAGTCCAGGTCATACGGTGATGATATACTACATACAATGTTAATACTATAAAGTCCAGGTCACACCAGTGATAATATTCTACACAAATTCTGTTTATTATAAATGTCCAGGTTACTCCAGTTATAATATTCTGCACAAAAGCTGTTTACTATAAAGTCCAGATTACTCCAGTTATAATATTCTACACAAATTCTGTTTATTATAAAGTCCAGGTTACTCCAGTTATAATATTCTACACAAATTCTGTTTACTATAAAGTCCAGGTTACTCCAGTGATGATACTGTACACAAAATCTGTCTACTATAAAGTCCAGATTACTCCAATTATAATATTCTACACAAAGCCTGTTTAATATAAAGTCCAGGTTACACCGGTGATGATATTCTACACAAAATATGTTTACTATAAAGTTCAGGTTACTTCAGTGATAATATTCTACACAAAGCCTGTTTACTATAAAGTCCAGGTTACACCGGTGATGATATTCTACACAAAATCTGTTTACTATAAAGTCCAGGTTACTTCAGTGATAATATTCTACACAAAACCTGTTTACTATAAAGTCCAGGTTACACTGGTGATGATATACTACATAAAATGTCAATACTATAAAGTCCATGTTACACGCGTGATAATATTCAACACAAAATCTGTTTAATATAAAGTCCAGGTTACACCAGTGATGATATTCTACACAAAGTCTGTTTACTATAAAGTCCATGTTACATCCGTGATGGTATGCTACACAAAGTCTGTTTACTATAAAGTCCATGTTACATCCGTGATGGTATGCTACACAAAGTCTGTTTACTATAAAGTCCATGTTACATCCGTGATGGTATGCTACACAATGGTATTCGATTAAGTCAACTCTTTAGTTAATCCTATCTGACATAACTGTGAGATGTGATCGTCACTCGCGTAGCACACCTATGTGTGCAACATCAGTAATGTTGCCCTGCAACATCAGTAATGTAACTTATAATAATACAAACATCTGTTTGTGACATTAAAACATACGTACATTGCACATATCCACGACTGATCATAATCAAAGCCTCCTCCTTCACTTATATAGGTTCCTTGGATAGTCCTGGACAACATGTGCACTGTAAAAAAAAATATGAATAACAATGAGAACAAATATTGTTAACAGTACATACTTTAGTTTAGTTTGTTTTTATATTTTATACTGTTTTTAGATCAAAGCCACATTGGACTATCTGCTGTGTCAACCGCGGGGGAAACGAACTCTTGTGGATATCTTGAATAGCTTATTGAAACACACGTTACGTCGTAAGTTCACTAACAAAACTTATAAATTACAGTCAAAAATGTATTTTGTAAAGTTGAAGATTTTGAAGTGGTACATTTGGTTGCAAAAAATTGTAAATTATTATGTTGTGGGGGTTGTTGGAATTTCTCGTACCAATATTAAATACAATAGATCAATAAACCTTGAAAACCAATACGAATCCAAGCAACTCCATCGCTATCTTAAAGTCACATCGACATTATTTACAAGTTTTGAAACAAATTTGACTACACCACACAGCGGTAGTTTCCCAAACTACATAACGTTTTCTTTGTTGTTATCCTTGCAGATCGCTGCATGTTAATCGATTCCAACTGGCCCCCTAGTGGCATTACAAACAAACAAACCATCCCATCTGCATCAATATAAGAAACAGACAATTCCGACCATTTCTTTATCCATTTGGCCAACATGGTCAGAACTCTTTGGGCATTTTGATACTAAACATTAGGAGGTGAAAAAATTGGGGGCTTAAAATCCAACAATACTAAAATTAATCAGGTGTTTAAGCCTAAAAAATGTGATAAAGGAAGGCGCTTGAAACCAGATTGTTAAACTAGGAGCGTATAAAACCAGAATTTCACCTCTACCTGTCGTCTGCTACATGTTGGTCTCTCACTAAAAAGGGCTGAGAAAAAAAAATGTAACCTGAAATAAAATTTAACTCACATTTAATAGGCGTTAACGTTTTCTTCACTAACTTAAATATTAACAGGTGCTTACTGTGCCACTGTTAACGCCATAATATGTAGCAACTTTGTAATAATGCAACCAGCATTCTTTAAACTAAATAAATAAATTTGATTTATTAACTATATCTCCAGTAGAGGGCCTCACTTCGAGTAGTAGAATCGTTTGCCGACTAGCAATTAAAAAATCTTTCCTTCATATTAAAGGTGAACCAGGTTTAACACAATATTCATTCTAATTTAGCTAGGTACTTATCTTAATTCTAATATTTATACTTCAATATGTACCACAGAAATTAAGTTGTATGTACTTTACCGTTTCTCATCAATAATACTGGACTAATGAAGACTAATAAACAGATTACGAGGGAGGTTCCGAAGTACTGAAACATTACCTCTTAAGACGTGATATTGAAAGCCTAGGACATGTTTTTGCTCAACAATGCCGATGACAAAAATTCTCACGTCTTTAAAAATAAACAAGCGTTTAACTTTTTGTAAATGAAGTAGATTTCTGTAAATTAAAATTATTGAAAACTTTGATAAATAAATACTAATAATAAAGTTACTAGCAGAGACCCGCAAAACATTTCCGGCCAAATTAGTATCTT